AGCAGGAAAAATCCTATCTGCTCTTAAATTAGCTACAGAATGTGTCCTTCTTAAACTAAAAAGATATAAGGGGGCAAAGTTTACAAAAAAAAATTTTAAAAAAGACGCTTTAGATAATGTAAAAAATCGAAAAATTCAGTTTTTTTTATAATTTTAACTGGAAAATGTTTAGAAAACGATTCAGAACTTTTCCAGATTTTATTCAATGTTATAAATATTTTCTTTTTTAATGTTAATTAGAAGGCGCTCAACGGCATTTTCTGCCGTTCCCAAAATGCTCGATTCTCAGCGCGCCTTCGCGGCGCTGTATATTTTTACCTGTTCACGATAGACAGGTGCTCTCGCAGACTTTTTGTGTAGAGAATTCGATTCTAAGAGAGTAAGTAGGAACGCTACAGAGAGCTCATAGAGGTCATGAGAAATGTTCACCACAAGTATACAGCACATGTGATAGTCCTGGTGATTGGCGCCCTCGGAGTGATGATGGACCACTTTCTGACAGAGCTTTGAACACTACTAGCCTGCCGTAGTCAGACTGAGATTCTCGCGACTTGTATGCAGAAAGCGGTTATCCTCGATTCTCTCCGAATTCTGAGACGATTAAATTAATGACTGAACGGCTATAACCCTGACTCACTATAAAACCTAAGGGAGTCGAGTGTCTGCAGGATAAGCTCAGGAAGTTTGAAAAACCTTGAGCTTAGATGATTCAAGAACTTTTAGTGCGTTGTCTAAATTGTTTTGGTAATAACGATGAAGACCTCAAAGATGCAGTTTGCAATGATGATGATAATCATGCTGATTTCTCATTAAAAAAAATGAAAAGTCATTTAATGATCGAAATTCTCATTGATTAAGATGGTGGGTTTATGGAATGGAAGGTCGTTCGAAATCCAATTGTAATTTTCTTCGAACTACTCAAGCAAGTTTAACTGAAAATAATTAGATCTGTTTTGAATTATTTAAGTCCAAATTAATAGATTTTTCTACAGAAATAAAGGAAATTGCCTGAAGTTTTAGATGTTTTGAAAAGGTCTGTATGCATCTAAAATTTACTAAGTGGTGTTGTTTTTAATCTTCCGAAAATTCCGAATGATTGTTTCAAAGTGGTTAATGATATTAATAGACTCGTTCCTTATGATAATAATTGATTATTGACTCTTTCTAGATTCCTAATTCCTGTTGAATTCAGCGTTTTTGTTACTTCCAGTCTGAGAACGTTGGCTCTCATTAATGATTCAATATCTGATTTATATTCACCATGTCTGTCGTGGAGCGTTCTCGTAGAGTTACGATAGGATGTACACAGTTAGAGCTTTTGTGTTAATAACCTTTTCTTCATGAATGGCCAAAATGAAGTTAAGTTAGGCACTAAGTGTCCATAATATCCTAAGTTCTACTAGTTAATTAGACTATTGACCTAATGTTTCTGAAAATTCCTTGCAACTTCCAGCTCTTACGGATTCTTATTCTTCACTCTCCAGATTTCTTCCAATGGAAAAAAAGAAAGGGACGAAGGATTTTTGAGAATTTAATTTTTGACTTTTATTGACTAAGATTTTAAAGTTGTATAGAGTCACGTTATTGGTTCTTTTGACCTGCTTTGGAAGTTTTTATCTGTCGCAGGATTTTTCCCTCTAAATGAACAAAACATATCTGTCTCTGCAGATCTAGAATCCAACCCGAGGATGACATAACAATGGAGTGAAAAGCTTAGCCATTTTTGCAATCACGTTCCACGATCGAGAAAGAGTCGCAATACTCGCATGAATACAAAACAATCAATGAAAAAACTAAAGCTTATTAAACCAGCTAAGAATAAACATTCAGTTGCACATAAAACGCATAGTTTATTTGTTTAAAAAGATTGAATATGATAATGGAATCATAAAAAAGATAGACTATTATAAACAGTTGGCATCTTTCGATATAATGATATCGACCTATAAAATTCAGTTATCCTGTCCCAAGTCGAAATAATGAGTCTGGTTTGAATCTCCAAAGCCTTAATTCCTTTGATAATGAATATGCCGCTCAACATTATGTTATTTGTTAAAATCTCCAAAATCTACTTTTACACTTAGAAGACTTAAATCAGTACTTTAGATATTTTGGAATACTGGTTAAGGTTTCTAAGTTCTATATTTTCTTATCTAAATATAAAAATATTAATTCAATCCTGCAAAAGCAAATATATGTTTCAATTATAATCATAAAATGGTGGAATTCTTATGAAACATATGTTTTACCAAGTTTAATTATTCAATAATTTATTTTTGCTTCATGTTATTTAGTTGCCTGAAGAATTTCCTATTGCAAATTTGCGAACTCATACAAAAATTAGTGCCGACCACGAAATATATCTATCAACTGATACAGCAGCGTACATAATTAAGAAAAGTAAAACTCAGTCATCACTAGATTAGAAATATGCAGTCGAACTTACTCTAATGGAAATATATGGTAGAAAACTTGAAAATTATTGTGCACTCGGAAAAGTTGGTGATCGACCCTGAATTATTCGAACCTTTCTATGGTGAGTGACGTCTTCAATAGAATATTGGTCGTAAATTTGTCCTTGGCATTAATAATATTCTGGATTATAATTTGTTTACAGAATGGTTAAATGCGTATTTTTCTGAAGATGATCAAATAAAAAAATCAGATTATATTAAATATATAAACAAATTATTCAGGGAATCTAAGGAAAAAGAAGAAAGATAATTCTAAAAAAGTAAAGAGTACCACAAATAAAGAATAAAATAATTTATTTTCAACATCATTAACAATTGTCTTCATATTAAAATTTATTAAAAAATAAATGGAAAAAATCATTATAAAAGGTTTTTTTTTAATGTTTTCAAACAAAATGACCATTATAGAATTGTTGATTGATATTTATAAATTATATTCAAGTTTTCGTATCTAACGTTGTGATGTTACAACTTTATGTACGAAAATTTTCAAATAATTTTTAAATACTAATTAATAACTATAATAATAGTCAATTTGTGAATTTCAAATTTTTTCAAACATCAGACCTATCAGGCTTAAACCAGGATTTCAATTTCCTATGCACTGAACTTGTAGATGTTTAACAGTATTTCAAAAACCTAGTTTAAATCTTTGCAAGGAAAAAAGGGACATTCGTGATGAATTGAGGATTAAACCAGTCTTTTAATTCTATATAAATAAATGACCCTAAGTACTGATTTTATACTTCTAAGTCTACCGGCAGAATTAGTAGATGTATAAGTTTTGTAGATTTGAACCAGGCTGTCATTTTTGACTCGGGGTATGATGATAACAAAAGAAATATACTTGTCTACATTACAATTTAGAACAATAACATCAGAATGCCAAAAGGTAGATGGTCATGTTATTGATGCATATGCCACAATCTTCGTGGAAGAATATAAGAACATAACTGATTACAGCACTGACATAACAATATTCATAATTAGCAATTTTTATTTTATTTTTATAAAACAAAATTAAACTTCTACCGAAATAAATCGAAAATCGACAATACATGGACAATTACTGATCATTCATGACGAATATTTCAAAAACTTAAAAGAACATGATCGGATGCTAAAAGCACAGTATTTACGTATCATTTTATATAAAACACTATGTCAAAATTTTACTAACACGTAAAGTGAAGAAAAAAAATGTAATGCCTAAGAGTTTTTCGATTGAGATTAACGATTATTACTAAAGTTATTTTCTAAGGTTTCTAATGTTTTTTAAAATAGAAAGGATTTCGAATATTCGTTAAGAAAATCATTTTTTAGACATTGTATTGTTTTCGGAACTCACGTAGCAAAAAAGCAATAAAACTTTCAAAAAAGAGTAGGAGACGTAAAAAGAGAGTTAACTTTCTAAAGAGGAGAAGGACCATGCGAAGAGACTGGTGCGCGCTTGAAGTGAAGGTATTCTAATTATGTCATCTTCGATTAAAAATAAATGAAAAAAATTGTATAATGTATGCATTAAAAGATTCGTCGCCGTGCCATCACTTGTTCTATGATTGAACACTTTTAACACATATAGAAATGGATATAAAATTTAGTTAATGATAAACTAACGTTTTATAATATTTTAAAAATCAAAGCATCTTTATTTGCGATAAACATAATTTAATAAAATTTATTGTTGCAGGTCATCAATCTAAGATGCGCTTCATCGGGAAATCACTTTATATTTCGACTATCACCAGTTCATAGTTGCTGATATCATAGCAGGAGAATAAAGGGTAAAGTAAAACTCTCGAGAAAATTTACTTTTTTACTAAAATTAGTAGAAAATAAAGACGTCATCGTCTTCTAAACGAGACAGCAAGCAAGTAAATATTATTCTTTATTATCGAAAAAAACTAATTCTAACTCAGAATTAATACTATCAAACATATACCAAATGTACTGAAAAAATATGAAACAAACTTTTTTCTCGTTCTACACTCAATCGAAATCTTATAGTCTTGAGTTATTACCTTTTAACTATCAAAGCATAATATGCAGTAATTACAAAGACATGCATGTAGAGATTCGTTGATGACGTCACATAATATTTTTTGTATATAGAATAGTTGGTAGCCTCGGCGCACATGGGAAAAAGAACGCGCTAGTATAAATACAAAAGACAATAAATGTGTACTTGGCGCCGAGTATCTACCACTACTCTTAGTTGAGTAAGATTAAGTTTTTTATCTGAATTCAAGTTAAGAAGAAATTATTCATGCAAACACGTTACTCTTATTATGTAGATTTTGGTAGCTTCAGCTCAATTCTTCTCTTCAACTCACAAACTAAGCAATTTCGTGTAGACAAACTCTTCATTGACATGTCTACAACAATCTTATTTTAAATTCTAATACTGCTACGTTTGTTATACTATAAATATTCTGTGAATATATTATGAATGTAGTATTCCTATTTTAATTAATCTGAGTATTTTCGAAATTTTTACTAATAAATAAAAGAAAATTCAATACTGACTGTACATAAACCCTGAAAAAGTCGCAAAGCAACATGTGAAGGTCCTCGCCAGGCAGCTGGAACAAGAATGCAAGCTAAGCAAGCTCCAAGAATGGCTCGTGAAAACACCATCGATGGTCCAGACCTTCCCCAAACGAGACACCCTCCAAGTAAAGGCCCTGCGACTTGACCCCATAAAAATGCTTCTCTCATAATTGATTCCGCTCGTTCTTCTTGTGGTAACTGCAATAAATTTCATCAGATCTCATCTCAGAATAGCTTACTTGAATTAACAAGTTAACATACCTCTAAAAGGATAACTTCGAAATCTTCTGTACGGTTTCGGCTACTTATGTTAACTAACATATCGCAATGCCATGAAGTATCAACAATAGCGTGATTGTCTTCTTGGTTTGCTAGTAATGCAACAGAAGAACTCACTTCAACGGCACCACATAATGCAAATCCAATAGCTACAAGACCAGCAACAATGTGTCGAGCTCGAACGGCCGCTGTTAGAAAATTAATAGAATTCAGTGAATTGATAATTTTGAATTGTGACTTCTACATATATAGAAAAAAAAACTAAGAATATTCATTTAACAATGACAATGAAATCGATTGCGCAAATTTTACTGATATCACTGTGTTCTGACTTGGAGGGCCCCAAGTCAGCGAGTCTAAAAATATTTAGAAATTATGTAATGCCGGACTTGTCCACCAGCGCGTCGGACAACTCACTAGACCAATTGTCGAGAGGCATTTCCCTCATGGCCCAGCAGACAACTCTACAGTTTTAGTGACGCCAACAAGCACGCGGTCGAGCACTTATGGCGTCAGTTAGCTCCAGGCGAATCACGCGGTCAACTCTGTAAAACTTCTCACAGCAAAATTGCAGATTTGTGCAGTAAACTTACAGTTTTTAGTCAAAATTTTGTTCAGTCTTCTCAATAAAGGTTTCACAAACAAACGTGAACCATCATAACCAGTCTACATAGTGCCAAGGGTCCAGATAAATAAGTTGTAGTGTTTTTGGGCGTGAAGCTGAGCTAGCGTCGACGCCATAGTGCCTCACGGACAGTCACACGTGTAGCACACACTCAAACAACTCTGCTGCATTGTATGTCCGTCGCTACACGCTATGTTTGATCCTTGTTATGAATTGCGTTTCAAACAATTCATTATTACGTTCAGACAATAAATTTAGTGCATTATATAGATAATTAACGGGCAACTAAAAAAAAATTAGTGGCTATTTCTCTATATTCCTAGGTTGAGTGTTTTTGTTAAATAAAAGCCAGGAAAACCATACTTTTTTGTGTTTGTGCATTCTTTGATTGAACCTTTTCAACCTCATTACTACTTATTACAGTTTCATCTTATGAGTCAAAACACATTGGTAAAAGTAACAAGGTAACTATTATCGAAGTGCTCTGTTACTGTAAGTTTCTCAGAGAAGATGAGAACTATGCCAGGTCCCAAGAAATAACCAGAGACAAAGAGAGAGTACGTTGTACTGAACAACTTTATTTACAATAATCACTTAACACTAGATACACAATAATAACACAGAAAAGAAGAATATGGTATTTTTGATTGATCTCACAAAGATTTTAGTTTATGAAAATCTCGTTGATTTGGTCAGCACACCACAGGTTGTAAAGCTGTGGTGGTGATCTGATCTCACACAATGAATCTGGACTTTTGGAGAATACTATTGGCACTTTACCCTTGATTTGTACACTTAACTGAGTTGCTGAACTCTATACTGATTAAAACTAAATCAATGCTAGTCTCTAAAAAGTTGATGAACACCAAGACTCTTTAGAATCTGTAAACGAAAAAAGCTACTCTTAGTTGCTTTTAATGATAAGTACAACGCAACTGCCGTGACATGAATCAAGGCACTTGAGTACAATTTCACGGCACTCGAAGCGCCACTGTCACGTCGCAGCATGAGATCATTGCTCTGATGGAGTGGCTCTAAATTCAAATGATGTATTTTGATCATATTACGATTTCTCCTTTATTGAAAAAAAGAATTGTAATTAATATTTGTTATTGTTAACGTTATTCACGTCGTTGTCTTTTCTGCAGCCTTATTGTTATTAACGCGTTTCACTTTTTCACATTTTTTCAAAGTTAATTTTTTTTTCAAATATCAAAAATGATTTTTGAATTTTGTAAACAGTTAAAAACTATTTCAAATAAAATTAATCTTTTCAACTTTAATGAATACAAAATACAATACTTGGCGTTTAATGATTTTACGCTTTTTTGTAATTTTTTAAATGATATACATTTACGATAATAGCATTTTTAGAACAAAGATTATCGTTCTCGTCATTCAAACTTGGCGCACAGTTTTATACAGTCTGTGGGGCTGTTTTTGGTATGATCAAATTGTTCTTGGCAAACTTTAAGTTATTTATTAGTTGTTATTAACTCCAAATCATTCATTTATGAAGAAAAAAATAGCAACCAGGGTAGATGACAAAGTTGTTTGGTGTAAGTGCAATACTCAATGTGTAATAAATGTTTTATTCATTGGAGGCTTTTGACAGGTACGTCCGCCATGACACCTCATATTCTAGTGAGAAATGGGTGTTGATCTTAATTTATTATTTTCATTGATAAAATGAATGAAGCAGGGTAGTGAGGTTTTCTCGGGGCAAGGATGATCTAGCGTGCCTCTACCCCCAGAGAGTTCTGAACTGCTTTGTTGTCATGTCGTAGGTCTCTTAAGAAAGCATGTTGATATTGAATTCTCAATAACCCAAGCCACAGTCGTCGGCCAGTGCGGAGTGTGAAGATCTAGTTCACGGGAGTGGATCGAGAATCGCACGCAGACCGCTTTCCAGGAGCCCGTCCTTCTCCCGAAAATATTGTATGACGATACTGCGAAGGTTATTCCACCTTTCATATTTGATTGGTCGTGAACGAGGATTCATCCTTCGGTTTTCTAGTGAACGAAGGTGTTCCTCGAGGCCCTGACCAGTCCCTCCACTATAGCTCCTGTGCTGGGCATTTTCTTTTAATTAAAAAGCAATACGTAGCAATAACAGTACGCCATGGTACTTGTCCTCAGCTAAGGCGGTAACCAAAAGTCATACTTTTATGATAAATAAGTTTAACTGATTATTTATTATTTATTTTTCTATTCTCACACTATGTCTCATTATATTACCATGAAATGGATCATTTTTATTTAGAAATGCACATAAACTAACCGCCCTAGTAATTTTATGTTTTTCAGAAACAATACGTATCTCGATACAACACGTATTACAGGAACTGTCGCCCTTGAGGCAACAAAAGCAAATATGGAATCAAGCGTACTTAACAAAATATCCACAAGTAAAACCAGCCCCATTCGGAGTTTGCGGCGGGGCCATTATTTATGCGTGAGGTCAGAAAGGCTGCAAGAGACAACTGGAATCCACACCAACAACCAGAAGGGATTAAGAAGACGACCCTGGAACTTGGACACCTCAGCACCCGCTGAGACCCGAAACGTTCGAAAGGGTGTCCGGTTAGTCTCGCGCGCACTGCCTTCTGGCACTCCCGCTAACAGCTGGTCTCCGAACCTGACCACGCGATCGGTCTGTCCCTACCGCGCGTTGTGATATGAGCTTGCCCAGTCCAAGGAATGCTTTGTGTTCCTAAATCGACTGGATGCTCGAGTAAACCTAATAGGCAGGGTACTTCGAATCCGTAAATGCCCATACTAAGCATAGAGAAAGTATCTTTTGACCTCTCGCAATGGAAGGCTGCTGCCAGGGCTCGGTAACAGGTTTCCGCAGAGGCAACCGATATCAGTACCGAAAATATCGCAAAGAATTCCGCTATTATAAGGACAAACTAGCTCGGTCTTCTCCAATTAAACCTTCATCTCAACATTAACTCCACAAAAGAAACGTTTGCACTTGTGAAAGAAAAGTAACTGGATGTACGGTTATTACAGAAGCCCTACTCCACGAATGCCGATTTACAAGGCTACGCAGTTAGAAGATTTGGTCAAGCCCTCGTCGCCGCAAGAACCTTTAGACGGGAAAAACCTAAAACGGCTATTGTCGTAGTCAATCCTTTACTTAAGGTGCTCTATATCGATGAACTTAGTACTGCAAACTGTACGTGTGCTTCCATTGATGGGCTCGGTTATTCATTTTACGCTATTTCACATTACTTCCAGTTCAAGGATCCAATCAAAGTTCACACCGAACACCTATGAAAGGTATTGACGACTCTTAAAGACAAGCGAGTTCTTGTATGTATAGATGCGAACGCCCGATACTCTCTGCGGTCACCAGACTTCGACAATACAGGGGAAAAGTTTGCAAATTTCTTTACCGAATTTGGTCTGGAAGTTCTCAACAAAATCGAAGAAGGTCCTACATACAGCTCCTCAAGAGAAGAATCGTACATAGACGTGACCGTAGCGACTCAGGAACTGCCACAGTCCCTAATCAAATGGCTAGTCAAAAAAGATTATATTCAGGGGTCAGATCACATGGCCATCGGAATCCAGCTTGGTGAAAGCGGAGTCCTGGGTCGAACTTACACAGAGGCAACCCGATGGTTCAATGTTGAAGCAGCCGATTGGGAAGCCTTCGGTATGTTGATGCCCGAGCTAGAAAGCACACTTTCCGCTAGATCATTGCTGGACTCTCCGGTAAACATTAATGGATTCACTGACACTGTCGCAAATGGGTTGACAGATTTCTGCGAAAAATCCATGCCAAGTTGAAAAGCACCAAGGAAAGGGAATCCCTGGTGAAACAACCACTTGTCCTGTTTATAGCGTAATGCCTATAGACTGCACCATAGATACGAACGCATAAAAAAGCTTGATGTCGATACCTACTGAATCACAGACTTTGAAACCGCCAGCAGGCGAGAAGGTATTCCCAAGCGATAAAAAAGGCGAAAACAAAGAGCTGGAAAAACTTCGTCACACCCCACGGAAACGAGGAGAAATGGGGTGTGGTATACAAGATTGTAGCCGACAAGATGCGAGCCAAAAAAGTTATGGATGCACTTCGCACTAAAGAAGGTAATGTAACCCTAAACTTTCAAGAAACAGCCATGCGATTGCTGGCAGTACACGTGGTCGACGACCATCCAGAAATGGATACAGTCGAACATAGCAAGATAAAGATAAACGCTCTCGACCTGCCCAGCACATTCAATAAAGAAGAACTCAAGCAAGTCGTCCGAACGCTAAAGAATGGAAAAGCTCTAGGGCTAGACTTGCTGGAAGTGGAGGTTGTTAAACGTGCAATTGCGTACCTCCCAGAAAAATTTCTAACATTTTTCAACGAATGCTTGTCCCAAGGCGTCTTTCCTCGAGCTTGGAAGGAGGGAACAATTCGTATGCTCCTAAAGAGTTCCGACAAAGATGTAGCAGACCCCAAATCATATCGACCTATATGTCTTCTATCAGTACTAGGCAAAATCTTCGAAAGACTTATAAAAATTCGTCTTTCAACTAGCGTCCTTAAACAAGGAAAGA